GCAAACAATGAATCATGGAACACTACATCAAAAACTAATGATGTAATGTATGATGACTAACATAATAAAATAAAATAAAAATAAAATAAAATAAAATAGGTATGGCAGCTCATCACACTTCTGGTTTATATTACTTTATGGACACTTAGAATCCCTGGACCTTTTCCTGAGAAGATGCTATTATTCCAAGTATCTCTCATTCTATAGTTTTATTGGTCATTTTTAATTTTATCCTAAGTGCTACACGATAAAAGAATTCTTCTTAGAAACAGCTTTGACTTGGCTTGTGTGATTTGTAGGTTCAGACCCTTTAGGTAAATAGGATAAACCAAATAAAGATGATTCCCATGGTATTGAAAACCAATTATCTGTCTCCTCCACCAGACTATTAGCTATATGAAGCCTAAGTTTGAGTCCTAATCATCTATTTATGTTTCGGCCAAGAGTGTGCACTCAATACTTCACTGCTAATCTCTGTGCAGTAAAGTAATGGTTTGTTTCCTTTGTTTTCATCAAACATGTGCAAGACAACCTGACAGATTTGTGAACAATGCATCAATTCCTTCATAATGTAGTATTTCAAATGATGCAATGACAAGGCAAACATCTGGTTTACAATCGATGTTTCATTTTAATGCAATCTTATAGCTGACTAGAGGATGGAACACATGTCATTGATAACACATTTCCAAACTAATTCAGCATGGCTTATTGCAGGTAGTGAAAATACATTTAGATGTACAGAAACTAATGATATTAACTATGTAAAATGCATGGAAGTTTCACATATATTTTAAAAAAACCTTTCATGCTATAACCTAATTAAAATACTGATCAACAGTGTCCTTGCCTCATTAGACAAGCAACTCAAGGAATGACAACTGCTTTTATGATCATTTATTACTAACAATGGGAAAACATGATTTCCATTAAAATAGACACCTTCAAATGAAGTGAGCATGCTCTTCAGAGATATGCTTATCAATCTTTCCTTCCCCATATTCTTCAAGTCTCCTTCCTCTCCATCTTTGGAGGCAACCAGGGGAAAAAAATGAAAAGAGCATTGAAGTTGTTCCTTCCAGGTATGTCCAGTATTCTTCCTCCCCAGAGTCATCCCAGATGCACAAAAACAGAGTAGCTAAGAGCAAAGACTTTGGATACTACCTTTCAGAGGCTCAGACCATTTCCTTCCACCTACGTGGGTAAATTATTTAACCTGAATTAGCTTAAGTTTCCTCGTATATAATTTGGTGATTACCCAACGTCCAGGACAGGTATAAAAATTTACTGGGCTTATATTACAGAGCACCTAGCACAGTACTTAGTATGGAAAGCACTCCTACAGTCCCCAACCCCTCCCTCCCAACCAAAACACAAAAACAAAAACAAAAAACCACTGTGGTTCACAGACCTGGACAGAAGAATTTGGGGTAGAGGAGAAAATACCAAATTGTTGGGACCCTCTGACAGGGCTAGGCTGTGGGGCAAGAGTGAAGTACTAATAATCACAGTTTGCGTGGAAAAGGAGGCCAAGTAGCGAGTGTATAAATACTGTTGGTGAGGGCTGAGCCTGGGCCAGCTTGCAAGCAGGTCTAGATCAACAAAACATGAAAAAAATTCAAGGGCAGGATGGAAACATTACCAGGATTTCTATTTGAAGGATTACAGTCAATTGAAAAAGTCAGCAATGAGAAAATATGCAGTGCATTATATCTTTAAATCAGAATGCTATCTATCTATCAAACTTGGGGAGGTAGATTAGTAGACAAAGAGAGAAGATGCAACTCCAAACTTATATAAAGACTCACAAACTAACAAAACTGGAAGGAACTTTTAATTTCCTTTCAATGGAATGGTTTAACTTGACCATGAAGAAACAAAGTGTCCAGAGAGAATGTGAGCTGACCAAGGACACAGGTTAAGTCCTGCAGAGCCAGGACTTAAAGCTGGGTCTCTTGATTTTGAGTGAGTTAAAAGTCTCATTTCCATACATTTGTTTTCCAGATATTGAAATCACATCAACAGGAAATCTTCACATAGAAACCATAAAAACAAAGAGAAAGCCATTTGAGGGAAGTTCACAATTTAGAAAGAAATGTCTAGATTACTGTTTATTAATTTTACCACAGCTAAGAGATTAAAATTAGTAATCATTTCACACATCTATATGCCACCTGGAGTTGTGGCATGACTAGAGGTATATTTAGGCTACGGAACTACTGGATTGCAAGGAACATCAGGTGAATTTTTTAACTAACAGCTTGCCTTAAACGGAATGTCACTATAAAAAAAAATTCAATAATACAGAATATTCTACAATAAGGAGCATTTCTTCCTGAATGAATCAACCCCGATGATTTGATAAGAGAGAATGTGATGAGAGAGAGAAGTCTCATTTGGAGCCATAGTAAATGATGTGAACAGTAAAGATACATCCTGTTTGTTTGGGACCTGCATCTGAGAATGGTTGAGGGGCTTCAAGAGGTGGCCTGACAGCCGTTACAGAACTGTTCTCCTCATGTTTTCTACCTCATTAAGATTTTGCCTTCACCCTCTTTTATGTTAGTTTATGTTTTCTTCTAATTCTGTTGGAACTCTTCATTATTTAGCTATCCACTCCTTATGGAAACTCTTTCCTTTAAAATTATGAAGTGGTTTTCTCCTAAACAAATTTGAAGCAAAATCCGTCAATTCAATATCTTCCATAAATAACAGATAAATTTGATGTTGAATTATCATAGCAGTGACCATTGCTATTTTGTGTTTCAATGCAAAAAAAAAAAAAAATCACTTTTTAACCTCTCATTAATCTCCTTCTTCATACACAGAAATCATATATAGTCTTTCAAGCTTTTATCAAAAAAGAAACTACCATGAAATCATATATCTGATAAGGACCTGCATCTAGGATATATTTTTTTTTAAAGATTTTATTTATTTATTTGAGGCAGAATGAGAGAG